ATGGAGTCGTTTCATCTTTAATGTGAATTCAGTTTGTGCTTTTAACACGAACTATAATTATATTATTACATTTATTATATTTAATCATTTAAACACAGAAACAAACTGAAATTCAAACCTAAATATGAGCATCCTGTTAAATATTTAAATGAATCCTTTTGTAATTTAGCTTTTAATTAATTCATCTTGGAAAAATGTTTTTTTTTAAAAGAATTTATTTATTCGTCTGTTTTGTCTTAAATCCAAAAATTATTGAAGGACTGTTTCAGGATGAGTTCAGCTCATATTCTTATATGTTTATGGTTGATGCATGAAACTGTCACGTTGAGCTCATCACGTTGGTTTTCAGGTGTAAGTGTGCCGACCGCAGCGCAGCACCCACCTGAGTTTTTGCCATGACTCATTTCTTAACAGTTTCCTCCGTAATCGTTTCAAAATAACTCGAGCGCACAGGAGCCGAGCGCAGACGCAAAGACCACAAAGACTTTAGCATTTTAAAACAACAATAAGAGCTTTTAAATAAAACTCTTTCATAAATATTTATGATTTATGATTTATGAGAGCTTTTACATCAGCAGCTCATTTGATTAAAGGATTTAATCACTTATCAAACCCGGTTTATGAACGAACACTGATCTGTTTTTATATTCATCATGAAACAGCAGATGATCGTGTGGAAGTGTAAATATTCGTTCTGCTCTTTGGTAGCTTCGCTGCTCAGATTGATTTTGATGTTTTCAGAGAAGCAGAATTTTTCCCCAAACTCGTAGACACAAAGCAGCGTCCAGGCCTCGGGGTGTGCTCCACAGCATCGCTGTGACATCAGCAGGATGTCAAATTCAAGTAAAACTTTTACCTGATTTATTTTAACCAGGAAAAACCTGACAGCAGCCAGTACACACAAAATAACACACAAAGTACATACGCACATTAATGATCGCCGTCACAGACGGCCGGGCGGCGTCCTCCGCTGCAGAGGACCCCACGAGCTTTCATTGGCACCTGAATGTGTGAAGAGGAAACCAAAGGCGTCGTCCTAAATGCTGAAGACTGACAGAAACAAACAACGTCCAACCCTCTGAGAGCTTCGATGGAAGACGTCATCCTGGAGACGTTAGACGTTAGTATTACAGAGAACAACAGTCACAGCCAGACGTCTGTTTTTATTCTACGCTTTTTA